TCCATGCCACTACAGAATGTAAATTTCAACACTATGGTAATGCTTCACTGACCCCTGTTGACAATTGAATGAGCCAGGATGAGAGTAGTTATCATTCTTTAGAATTTCCATATACTTGTACCAAGGGCATGTCATAAGGGTTCTGATTGAATGAAAATACTGATTAAATTTATGGTCTGAAATAACTGTCATGGTACCCCATGCAGTGTCTTAACTACAGAGAAAGAAGCTAGCATATGTTACTGGTATATGCTAGAAGAAATCAATTTAATAGCACTCCACAAATAAAACATAATAAAAACATTGTTTAACACTATAAATCAAACATATCAAATTAAATCTGATATTAAATTAAATTAAAATTCCAAAGGGGGAATGAAATATAACCAGGGGCAGTCAGAAACTTCTGTTTCTCTTCACCCCACAACAAAATTAGAATGTAGCTGCTAAGACTTTTAAGAATTAAATGTTTACGTGAGTGAAAGTTTAACTGTTGATTTTCTTAATGACGAATTCACAAGCCATGGGAAGAGCTGAGAGGAGATGTGCAAAAGAAAAAAAAGAAGGAGACCTTCACTGAGTTGAATGTTGTCTTTGGAAGTTTTCTTTCGGCGGGACCCTCCCTTGCGTCGATTGACCACATGGCTAAGAAATTCATGCCATAAGGCGTTAAAAAGCTGAGCAGTGTAGAGCGTAGCAGGGAGATGCAGATTAAGTGCATCCATTCTTGTTTAAAGTATTAAGAGTAAGGTTATTTGAGACTTGTTGGTTTCCTTATAAGGATTAGATCTTTAATATTAGTAGTGAACTTTGATATTATATTTAGCATGGGATGGTCCTTTTCAGGGCTGCGATCAAGAGATCCAAAGCATGAGAAAAATTATGTCGTGGGGCAAATGGGAGTACCCCGGGGAGACTGCCACTAATCTCAAGCATGAGATAAACGACCATGTACCAAATTACAGAAAAGTGTCCAGCTCTACAGTATCAAGAAGATTCATTGAGAATAGATTATTTGGTCATGTAGCAGGTAAAAAAACCTTTACTTTGAACTCCAAATATTGTCAAGATAATGAAATTTGTTAAAATTACAAAAATTGGACTTTTTGGTGATTGGGAAAGGGTGTTATGGATGAGTCCAAATTTGAAATATTTGGTTCAAAGTGTAGGTTGTATGTCAGGCATAAGAAAAGATACTTATCTCAATGCATAGCACCTACCATGAAGCATTGGGGAGGCAGTGTTTTTTCTGCTGAGGCAATAGGAGATATTTGCAAAATATATGGAATAATGGACCAGCGCAAGTACCATCAGGTACTGATTTATCATGGTATACACCCACTGGTTTGTGTATTATTGGTAAAGGATTCTACTACCAAAAAGATAATGACCCCAAACACTCATCCAACCTATGCAGAAATTACTTGGCTAAGAAAGAAGCTGCTGGAGTCATTCAAATGATGCAATGGCCCTCACAGAGCCCTGATCTCAACCCAATTGAGCAGATCTGGTATTTGATAGATCAAAACTTGACAAATCAAAAGTTGCTTCCAAAGAAACTTCATGGGAGTGTATTAGAGACATTTGGAGTAAAATCCCAAAGGATACTTTGATTACATATGTTGTAATAATGCTCGAAACACTGTCTGCAGTTATTAAAGCAAAAGGGGGACACACAAAATATTAACTGTTTGCTGAACTCAAGCACTTCCACTGAGTTTCTGTTGTACTAAATATTAAGATTAATAAAATTTTGACGTTTCATGTGTGATTTACCTTCCATTGTTCTTTGAAAGTAACCTGAAATCTAATTTTTGACTTTGTTATAACACTTTTGCACAGTAATCTGTATTGGTAAACAATTAGTTTTTGTAAAAGGACAACTACAAAGATTTGTACAATAGCCACAAGTAGTTCTGAAAGATATTAAAAACTCTTGTCATAGTTGTCATATCATATGGTTTTAATTAAGGTACACATATAAACATGGGCTGAACCATTAAAGACTGAAACAGTAAACTCTTGAATGAAAAAATAAAGAACCAAAAATACTTTTCTAAACTTAACAATAAAAAATACTCTTCTGTTTTAAATTGTCCTTTCTTTTTTTTCTATGACAAGAAATCAGGTAAGCCTTATTAGGTTTAGAGTACAGTAGTGATGGCAAAATATTTGAGTGACACAAATAAAACTATTTACTGAATACTATTCTCAGGTTTATTGTTTTCATATACATAGTTAAAAGAATTTATAATTCATTGAAAGCAAAATATATATATTTATTACAAATTAATTTTGACCAAGAATATTTTCAGCAAATATAGTGTTAGCTAGCCTGACCTGACACCATTTTGAAAGGTCAGATCTAAGTTTAGCAATTAATCTTTGTGAGTTTTTGCAATGATTTTTATGATTTATAACCAGAAGTGATGACTAATGCAGAATAATGTTTCAAAAGAGGTATGTTCATGAAAATCAATAACTGACTGGATATATAAAACTTAACTTGCTAAATAATAACAATAAATTTGAATTATATAACAAAAGAAAGTATTTTCAATGTTTTTTTAAAAAAAAGTACCTCACAACAAAATTTTGGAAATTTAATGACATAAAATATTACAGAAAACTAAAACAAATTATAAGAACTTTAAAAATTCAAATCTTGATACCATTTAGTAAGTTTGTTCCAAGTTTCATGCATTTTGATCAAGTATTTTATTACAAGAATAAAATAAGCAAGAGATGTCAGTGCCATTTCTTCCTTCAGGAAAGGGAAATGTTTTTTTTAATACCTGTAAATTTGCCTATAGAGAAATCCACATTTCTTAATAGAATTTTTTAACATAAGGTATAAAAATAGAGTCAAGATTTGTTCCCTCTTTGACTATTCTTTTCTTCAGTTTCATAAAAAGCAGTGGCAAGATGAAAGCACAGTGTCTTTTAAACTACAATGCTACAGTAAAAGGTACTTTTATTATCATTAATTTTAGTTTTTAAAATGCTTTAATAGTCAACACAACAGTGTTCAGTTTACAGTTGATCATCTTGTATTTTTGAACAATTTAATTTATCATAACAGTAAGTCTCAGTGTAAATTTACCATGAAAATATTTAAAGATCCTCATTTAGCTTTGCAAGTTTCACTTCAGTGTTTTTTCCAGAAAAATCTAACTCACATCTTGAAAATTGTGCATATAAAGTGATAAACCCTATAAATTTCTACACAACAAATAAAATAACAGCACAGCATTTTTTGGAGAGAATGGTTACGATCCTTATTGGTATAACAAAGAAATATCAAAGTGTCTATATTTAATAACCAGAACTCAAATACTATAAAAGTTCAAGAAGTGCTGAAAATAGAGTTTCATTCAGTGGATTAATATTTAACTGACTGAGGAGTGTTAATATAAACTACAAGAAGGTCTGAAGTTATAATTTTCCTATACTGAAAATGTATTTCTGATAGGTACTTACCTCTCTCACAAGAATAATGATTCAGTGCTGCTATCTAAATGAAAACATTTTCTTTACGCATGCCACAAGCCTTCTGCTCCCCCCCTATTAGAATTGCTATACTCCAACATGTCTCTCATGCAAATCATCATGGATCATTCCCTAACCAATTGGAGCAATACATTTTTAGTATAGGAAAATTATAACTTCCAATGTGGTACTTACCTCTTCTTACAAGATTAATTAGAATTCCACATTGAGAAGGAGGAGGGACTGGTAAGAGTGAATAAAAGAAGCACCCTAAAAAAGCATTTGAAGGAATCCCCTGACCATGAGAGAGAGAGATCCAGAGATCAGAGGAGGGGAACATCACTACTTCTGAGCCAGGTATACTTTTCATCCTTATGTATAATTCGTAAAACACATGGGTGGATATCATGAGGGGTAGAGTGGCTAGGGCATGTTGGATTGTATCCGGCAAGTCAACTATATCCAAAATCTCCTTTATGGAGTATCAACATCCACGCAAGGGTAGGATGAGAATCATATCATCTTCACCTACAACCCAAGAATTGGGGATTAAGATCTTCTCCAATTCTTGTGTAATACCCAAGGATAAACACCCTACAGCAATCTGGGACTGGCCATCTGGCATCGAGAGGATGAATTATATTTGTGCAAGGATTTATGTTGATTGGTTCTCTCGATTCAAACAACTCAATGCTGGGAACCAACATCTATGTGAAGGTAAGATGATGGCTCCCAATCAAAAGGGGTAAACTGCATGTGTGATGGATGAACTCCATGTGGTATGGAGTGTGTAACAGGAGGCCACATCAACCACTAA